TCTCAAACTCTCCGCAGTCCTCCTGCCTCAGCCTCCTGAGGGTTACAATTGGAATTACAGGCACATGTGAAAAGGTTTCTTAACCATCTCCAGCCCTGTCACTTGCTGGATACACATACCCGCCAGCCCAAAGCACCCTCCACTCTGTGGTTTGAACACCTTTAATAGAACTCTCCTGATTCTGACTGTCCCTCTCCCCAGAGGCATTGGGACAGTGACCCAGTGCAGTACGGATGTCTTGCTCTCTTCATCCGAGCTGCCGCAGTGATGCCTTCACTGACCTCGAGGAGGTTTTGAGTCACCATCTCCAGGGACAAGCGGTTTTCTCAAGATGGAGCCTGAAGAAAGGGGCTTCAGCAGCCCAGGGCTCAGGGCAGAAACCTGCACTCAACCAGGGCTCTGCATTGCCCCAAAGCTGGAGGCAGAACCCCAAGGGGCCACTGCACTCAGCCCTGTTCTGTTCAAGTCATGCCCATAGAAGAATGGGAGGAAGAGGGTGCAGGGTGTTTGAGGGGATGACAAGTCACTTAAAGTGTGAAAGTGATCCATGGCCCCCGGGGCTGGCCCTGGAGCACCACAAAAGGCCCAGGCTGCTCTTGTTGGCCTGGCTCAGTCCCCCCAGTGGCAGGACTGAGCAACAGAAGTCAAGGGCCCCGAAGCTGCACCAGCAAGGCCGGGGCCCTGAGGCCTCAGGGGCTGCTGGCGAGTGGTTGTCCACAAAGAGGAAAGGTCCAGGGTCACGCGTGTAGCCAGTTAGGGGTCCACAAAGGAGACGGCGATGTAGCGGGTGCCCCTAGTGGTGGGGAGCCCCTCGTGGTAGTGCGTGAGCCGCCCAGGGTGCATGAGAGCCCAGCCCTTCCGAGGGGCTCGGACGGAGCAATTGTAGCGCAGGAACCGACAGCCCCCGCCCTGGGAGAGAAAAAGAGAGGACACATCAGTGCTGAGGATGGCTGCCCAGTCCCTGGTCGCCAGTCCTGAGCTGTCCTGCCACAGCCATGGGGCCCCCAGCACAGTAACCTGGAGACGCCTGTGGAGTGGCAGCCCCCAGCCTCCCAGGGAAGGCAGCAAGCACTGACACATCAGAGTGCTCTGGCAATGGAATGAGATAGCCCTGGACAAACGTCACTCTCCTCTCTACCACCTGGCAACCAACCCGAGCCTCAGTTGCCTCTTCTGTAAACTTGGGGTTAGATAGCCCTGATTGTGAGAGCTGGCTTGCTTAGGGTGCCTGGCTAGCGCGTGAGGGTTCCATCCCAGGTGCTACCAATAAAGCCACAATGAAACAGTGGCCTAAGGAGTGGCCAAAGCCTGCTCGCTCCCTAATGCACCACAGGCAGAGAGGTTCCCCAGCTCCTCCCCCAGCCTCACACTCAGCCTCCACCACCTGAGCCTCCTGAAGCAGCCTCCTTCCTCCCACAGGAGGGGACCCTGAGCTCCTCATCACTTCAGGCAGTGACCTGCATGACCTCGGCTGTTGTCACAGCTCTCGGGAAAGCCCTCAGCTCTCCCACCTAAGACTTGAGCAAACAGAGAGGCTACCAAACGTGCCTGGGGCCACAGAGCAGGAGAAGGGGGAGTAAGGTGGGACCCAGAGCCCTGGCAGGCTAGCCCCAGCTTCTAAGGGTCACACTGTAGCCTCTGAAGCCACACCCCTCCTGCCAAATGGTGCCCTGAGCCCACCCCTTCCAGGAAGCTCCAACACCACATACCTGACACCTATCCTCTCTGGCTCTGGGCCCCGGTGCACCCTGGGCCCCGCTCACCTCATAATCCTCCCCAACCCGGTTGAGGGCGATGTTGACAGTGAAGGTGGAGGCATCATGGTGGGGCATCAGTGAGGGCTGCTCGTCTGGCTTGTAGCGGACGACAAAGGCCAAGTCGAATTGCGCCTGTGCAGGGCAGGGGGATAAGAGAGGCCAGTGAGGGAGGAGGGACTGCAGTCCAGCCAGGGCCTGTCCCATCAGCAGGGGTGCTGTGTCCCCAGGTGTTCAGAATAGTTCCAGGCACAGAAGAGTCTCAAGAAAAATACAGGGAAAGAAGGGAGTGAGGAGGAGTGGAGGGAGTGGAGGGAAAGGAAAGGAGTGGAGAGGAGGAAAGGAAAGAAGGAACCGAAAGGAGGGAGGCAGGAACAAACTGAAGGTTCATGGCCCTCTGGGCCCCTGTCCAGCCTCTGCTTCCTGAGAGAAGCCCTGGGCACATTCAGGGCAGGGGGCTGGAGAAACCACATGAACAAGGACAGATGGAGCCAGCCAGACAGTGACCAAGCCTGGGACACCACAGACAGACACAAAAGTGATGGTGCTAGAGGGAACCTGAGGGAGAACTTGGCATGTGGGCCAGCTGGCTGCGGGCCGGGTGGACGGCTGGTGTAGAAGCCCCACAGGCCAAGGTTTAAGGGTTCAGAGGAAAGATGCCAAAGGGGTGAGCAGGAAAAACAGCTGTCATTGAGAAATCAAATAGTAACAAGTGCTGGTGAGGCTGCAGGGAAAAGGAACCCTTCACACTAACTGGTACAACTACTGTGGAGATAAGTAGGGAGATTCCTCGAAGAAGTGAAACTAGCCAGGTGTGGTGGCACAAGCCTGGAATCCCAGCACCCAGAAGGCTGAGGCAGGAACACTACACAATCAAGACCAGCCTGGTGCACAGTCCAAGGTCACCCTAAACTACATAGCACATTTTGTCTTTTTTTTTTTTAATGACTAGGGTCGAAACTCACAACCTCATGCTTGCTGGGTGGGCTCTATGCCCCTGAGCTATATCCCTGGCCCAAGACCTTTCTTAAAAAGACAAAAAGAAAAACACCAAACTAACTAAAACTAGAAATTCTATTCAACCTTCCCCTTCTGATCTCTTCCTGAAAGTTATAAACATCACATTACAGGGCTGGTGAGATGGCTCAGTGGTCTAAAGCACCTACTTAGAACAAGCTTAGCAAAGCACATGGACCGCAGTTCAATCCCCCAGCACCACATGCCCAGCCAGCCCCACCCCCTGGTGGGCTGAGCTGGCCAACACACACACACACACACACACACACACACACACACACACAAATAAATAATAAATAAAAATAAAAATAAGAACTACTGAAAAAGGGATGAGGTCAGGACAAAAGAAGTGTCCTCCTGAGAACCTCGTGCACCCCAGGTCCCGCCTCCCCACACCCTGCCCAATGCGGGCAGACTCCACTTCTCCCTGTGAGCCCAGCCTCCAGCCTGTCCCCCACACTTCCCAGACACGCCGGATCCCCACCCTGGTGTAGTAGCCGGGGTACAGCTTCTCCGTCATGGGGGCGATGTACTCCACCAGGAACTTGTGCCACTCCCGCTCGAAGCTGATCTGGTTCATGTGGATGTCGATGGTCGGCACATTTTCATAGCCACCCTGAATGCGATTGTCCTGGAAGTGACCACAGCAAGGGCTAAGATGGCCCCCCAGACTCCTGCGCCTGAGACACAGGCCCTGCCTCGTACGGCCCCAACCTGGGCATAGGATGGAACTGCGTGACATCAGGAGACCCAGGAGCAGAGAAGCAGATATAACTAGGTCCCTGTCACTCAGTTGGCTATAGGTAAATCAAGGAAGGTTAGCCTGGTCCCAGGGCACAGCCTGCCACAGCCTTCAAAGAAGGGTCTGGAAGAGGGAGACCATGCGTTGCATGGGCACAGAAGAGGCCAGCTGCCCTACGGACTCCAGCTGCAAGGAAAAGAAGCTTGCTAGCCACCACATGAGCTCTGAAAGGAGCCCCACGCCTCAGATGAGACACCAGCCCCAGCTGCCCCTTGACACAGCTTTGTGAGAGGATCTGAGGATCCAGCTAAGCCATGCCTGGATCCCTGACCCATGGAAACTGGGAGACAATCAACAGGTGTCGTAGCTGGGCTCCACAGTGTGGACTCATAACCCCAGCACTCTTTGAGGCCACAGCAGGAAGTACGGCAACTTAGTAATTTAGCAAGACCCTGTTT